ATAGTCTTTATTCATCTTATTATTTCAATTTTAGGAAAACAAACAAGAAAGAAAAGAAAAGGAAATTTACAAAAAAATGATTTCATTTTTGAGAAATTAAAAAAATTAAATATCAAATGCTTTGATTTCAAAAATACATCTATATTAAGTAAAATCAAAATTTAAACTCTTAAAAATTAATCAAAAACAATTAGATTTTACTTATAATGCGATGAATTAGGTAAAAGTAAAGTTATACTACTTGGATAGCTGAATAGTAAAAAATAAATATTTTAAAACAAACGGTCTAAAATTAATTACAAAATAAAATAAAACATCTAATTTAAACTCCTAAAATCATTAAAAGATATAATTTAAACACATAAATTTGTCACACTAATTGTATTGCGTGTATCAATATAAAATATAATATTTTAAGCTAAAAAAAGAAGAACATGGCGAAATATTGGCACGTCTCATTACAAAACATTGACATGTTTATTTTTACTTTATTATTAGAAATAATAAAAGACAATAAAAAGAAAATAAAAATTGTACTAGCTGGCATTAAATTGGATTCTTCTCCAATTAACTACTTTGGCATATTTGAGAGTTAAATTTATTTTAATTTATTAAAATTATGACCAAATTGATAGAATAAGTAACAATGATTAAATGTGCAATTATACCAAATATTTTAATCATCACATCAGCTTTTCCATTAAATATTAATGGCGAGTGGTTTTATTGAATGTATTTAAATAGTATTTGAGTGACATGATTGACAAAATTTCAAAAATAATGGTCAAAATAAAAAGGGACAATAATTAGGTAGTCGATGCTATAGTTTACATTTTATTTTAAATAATTTACTTTTAAATTTTCAACTAATTTATAATTATATGTTGAGTCATTTAAAATTATAACGTTTTATAAATTAATTTATCAATGCTCATTATTAGTGGTGTTTATCGACACTCATCTACGGTAGAAGAATCATCTTATCTAATATATATATATATATATATATATATATAATTCATACATATATTCCTGTTTAAGAAGATGTGGATCTAATGGTGATATATATTAAGAACTGTGATAAATTAAAACAGTTGACGAAGAATTTTACTTTAAATAAAAAAGATTCAACCAATCACTTAAATTGGACCTCCTCATATGCCACCAACACTAATAGCCGAATCCATGCGATCCTAAAGTTGCTTGCATCTATCCCCACAATTGTCATCAAAGAATACCAGCTTTCCTTTGTCATGAAATATTTCCTCTGTTTTTAAAGATTTATATCAAAATTGTGTTCAATATATTTGAAAAGATGATAAAGAAAAAGAAGCCACATTAAAAATCATTGGACTTTATTTTTTATATTTGTAATGAAATGATGGGTGTTGGATGATGTGGAGCGTTATATATAAGCTGGGTGTTGGGTGAAAAAAAGGATTCCAATTTCCAACCTAGCATTGCGTGGACGCATATTCTTACTTTTTCTGCCATCATATCCAAATGTCAAGCAGGAATCTGTGAGGCTATTTCGACAGATACGTCAGCCCCTCTTACCGATCAATCATCGTATCAAATACTATCAAAACATCTTCCGCCGGCCCAAATTCTCTCTTTTGCCGCTGCCTTCCCTTGAATTCACTAAAGCATGCATATTGCATGGGTGGCACGTAAAAATGGTGCAGTGCCGTGGCGTGTTCGGACGCAGCACTGATTAAACCAATACAGCCCCCTAATTTCGGGGAAGTTGCCTCCCAGTTTGTGCTGTTTGTAAGCTAAATTAAGCTCAAAATTTTCATTTTTAAAGCCGATGTTGTCGGTTTCGAATCTTGATGTATGGCAAAAAAGGAACCGGGATACGTAGACACTGTGTTGTTGTTTTTCAAAGTTGAGTTTACAAGGTGGCCACTGCACATTTGAAAAAAAGAGTAGTAGACTTCCCACTTCCATAAGCACCAATGCCCAAGAATATCCAATACATTAGCAACTCATCTCATCAAATCCATAATTATTCCAAGTTCCATCCCCAAATTGCTGGGATTCTTAAATTCTTATTCACTTACTAACAAAAGATTCCAACCTGAGGGCTGCGTCCATTCATGGATTCCTCGCAATGTGTTGTTAACTTTTCACATCTCCCCCAGTGTCAATTTTCTGAAGTTTAAAATAAACAAAATATCGACTGCAATGGTAATTCCTACAATGGTTCCTCTTCTCGCATTCAATATTTCATGATTGCGGTACTAAACAATTTGAAAAGTGTGAGCTTATCCGGTGTTTCATCATTGAGGATAATGAAAATTTTGTAGGTAAACTGAAAGTGCAAAAGTGGTTAAGAAGGCCTACTCTAAGTAGATAGTTTCGTGAAAGAATTCTTGGTATATACAAGAAAAATAAAATGCATGCGTTTTGAAGAAACGAGTGTTATTAAAAGAACTTCTTTTCACGCAACCTGGCTTAGCTGTGAGAACCCAAATCCAAAATATTTACATGTTGTTTGATGGGGAGATGCTCCTTGGCGTTATCTGATAATTACTCCCAAACCTGTGGTGCCATTTAACCTGCATATTGGACTTTAGGCTCTAAAGTGTGAAAGGTAAATTGGGAGGGGCAGATGATAACGTGAGGTTAAAGTTTTCTCTGTACAGACAGCTGTCTCCATCAACCCTCGCCCTTAACTCAAAGCTCTTTTGCAGTTTACCAACTTCGTAATTGAACCGCGCATTCTTCGCATTTTTAAACCTCATTCTACTTTCAAATTTTCTTATTTTTTCCTCTTATTTTTTATTTGTTCATGTTTTGGTTACTTTAAATTATTTTGATGTGATGTAGTATTTTTTATTATTATTAAAATATAAACATAATTTAAAATAATTAATAAAATAATATTTTTATTATTAAATTAAAAAAAAAAGATTTCAAATATTCAACGACCTTCGTCAACCACTGTCGGCCTTCAGAATTGATAGTCGTTCGGTCCCAAATTTTATGCGTCGTTTTGCCTCAATCTGAGTCCGAATATAGTGGTTTTTTCACCGCAAAATGTCCCAAAACCCGTGAATCTTGACTGATACATTTCAGTTTTCTCATTTTTTATCACCTATTCGTGGACTTCGAAAAAACTAATGTTGGATTCGGACTCAGGGGATTCAGGCGAAGTGACCCATGAAATATGAGATCGAACGAGTGAACGACCACCATTTACCATTTTGATTTTCTCATTTTTGATCGAATGCGAAACATATTTTGACAAAATAAAGATTAAATTCAGACTTAAGAGTCGAGACAAAGCAATCGATGAAATATGGTACCGGACGAGCACCATCTACTATAGTTGATGGTGGCATCCAATAACGACGAACACTGGAGTACACTTTCTATTTTTATTTAATATTTTAATTTTTTATATTAAATAATAAAATATGCCATATCATACTAAAATAAAAAAAAATTAGAGTTACCAAAACAATAGTAATTTGAATGTTCAGTGAATAAATTAAAAAAAAATTGAAAGTACAAGGAGTGAAATAAGAGAAAAAGTTCAGTGAGAAATTATATATTTTACCCTTAAATAAAAAAATCCCTATAGAATTAAAGAATATTTTATTATTTTAATAAATTAATTTAATATTTTATTAATAAATTATAAAAATATAATTACAAATTCTCAAATATATTATTTTTATCATTTTATTAATAAAACATCTTAAATACAACTAAAATGATAAATGAAGTTATTAATTTATAATATATTAAAATATATAATTTTATTATTTTATAAAGATAGAAGATACAACTCTAAACGAGAACTCTTACTAATCCTCTCCTAGGTCGACTCTTATTAAAAACACTTATGAAGAAAAGCACTCTTATTAAAAATTAAATAATAGTCATTTAAAATATAATTATTTAATACATATTTAAAATAGTTAGGATATACTTACACATAGTGTAAATTTTTTAATTTTGTATATTTTTATGATCATTAGACGAGAGAAATATTTTAAAAAATATTTTGTTATTAAACTAAGTTGATTACAAAGTAGTTTTTGTTCTAAATATTCTTAATCATTTAACAATGAACACTTAATCACTATGCTGCGGTCGGTGGTGTTCAAATCCGTGACTTTTACAAATAATCATTCCTTTAATAGCTAAGATAATTTGATTTGTGCCGCTTAAAATATATTAAACACGACAAAAAGTCAAATACATTAACACGACCAACTTTACTTTATTTTTTTCATGCATCAAATTTATCATTTTTTATTTCTTTTATAATTTAATATTTTATAAACGTTTATATGGTTTTTAAATCTTCTACAAAATTTTGATAACTTTTAGTTATTTTTATTGATTTATGTTTTTTCTGTTTTTAAAATGACCAATTTCCATATACTTTTGTATATTGATAGATAATTAAGATATACCTATATCAATTTTTTAGTTGATTTATTCTAATTATAAAATTAAATTTGAAACATTAAATAATTTGATTCAAAAAGTTAAATAACTCAAATAAATTAATTATGTTAATTTAAATTTTAAGTATTTTAACAAAGTCTATGGTAAATTATGTGTTTAGTACATAAGCTATACTTTTGGTCTTAGTACATAAACTTTCATTTTTTTTAAAATCATATATAACTTTTAATTTTTGTTTCATTTTATTATTATTGCCATTAAAAACTCACCGCATTTAGCATCTAAACTATCAGTTTTTGTCTATTTTAGTGCCTAAATTTCTTTTCTTTTTTTTCAAAATTTAAGTTAAGTTTTTAACCAGTACTAAAATGAAACAAAAACTAAAATTTATGTATGATTTTAAAAAAATTAAAAGTTCAAATACTAAAACAGGCTAAAACAGATAGTTTAAGTACTAAATACATAAATTACTTTAAAATCAGATTAAATTCACCCTTATTTTTTTTAAAAAAATATAAATGAGAAAAGATTCCAATTTTCGTAACTTCGATTATAATTTATTATGGTACCAAATTCGTTGAGATTCTCTCAAGATTCCCCTAAAACTTTGGACAGTATAAATGAAGATCCGCCCACCAACCCATCACATTGCGCCCAGAATCATCCCTTGTCTCTTATTTCAGACTCTTTTCTATGCCCTCATCAATGGCGCTTCTGAAAACCCTTGGGAAGCGTCCGTTGCACTGTTACAGAAGTAGCTCATCTCTTCTCACTTTAGAAAACTCTCTGATCCCACTCCGTACCGTACCTCGCCGGGAGTATGCCGCCTCTCCGGTTTGCGGTGAGAGAGGATTATTCCGACGGTTATTCCATCAGAGAGCTTCTGAGCAGTCTACGCCTGGATTTCCGAAGATCTTCCCGGTGCCTGTTGGCGAGAAGTTGAGAGAAGAATTCCGATGCATTAACATTACTGGAGATCGCCTACAGTTAGAAGGAATCACTCAACCTCAACCCCTAATAACGGATGCCACAGCCAGCGAAACGTTGGCTAAGGTTTCTGTCGAAGATGCGAGGAAGCTATTGAGAGTTTCTCTAATCGAGAAGCTTAAAGCGAAGCTGAGAGAGATTCCAAAGAATTCAATTTCTTATCACGAGTTTCTTGAGATCTGCCTCGAAGCATGCGGAGATGAAACTCAAGCTTTGGAACTCGCAGAAGTGCTGGATCTATCGGGAAACGTTGTCGTTTTAGGGAGCATCGTTTTTCTCCGCCCCGAACAGGTATGGAATTTCTCACCGGGCATCTTCTTTTCTTTGTTAAAAACTCTAAACGAACCATTACTTTTGTCCCAAAAACTGATTGGGTAAAGTGCGCTGCTGGAGACGTCATTACCATGTTCTCCACGTGCTGCAAGTTGCGAGGTGCGTCTTGGCTCAGCCAAGGGGTCAGCGGCGGTGGACACTAGCGTAGTATGCTAAACAAAAATGACCATTAAATACAAGTCTACGTTTTTATAATCTCAAGAATTTAGAGCCGTCCGGATTTGAATATGGTTTTGAGATGAAATAACTTGACTCTGTCACGTTTCTTAATGGTTAGTTAACCATAAAAAAAAAAGGTAGATTAATGAATTTCGAAGAAAATTAAAATTTAGGTTCATGAATGGTTAAAACATTGGTATGGAATTATGAATGGAATATTGACCGACTTTTATTTCTGCAGTTGGCTAAATCAATGGAAACTGTGATTTCTGAATCGATGGCCTTCCCGAATGACCCAAGAAGAAAAGAGCTGGAAGATATGGAGAAACTAAAGGCTCAAATAGACAAGAAGGCCAAGTCTCAAGTTCGTGGTGAGCTTTATTGTGGGTTGGGGTTTCTAGCGGTTCAAACACTTGGGTTTATGAGGCTTACGTTTTGGGAACTGAGTTGGGACGTCATGGAACCCATATGCTTCTTCGTCACCTCCCTTCACTTTGCCTCAGCCTATGGTTTTTTCCTATCCACTTCAACTGAACCATCCTTTGAAGGCTACTTTCAACGCCGTTTCATAACCAAGCAAAAGAAACTCATCAAGGCCCGCAACTTCGATATTCAAAAATACAATAAACTTCGCCAAGCCTTTTACCCCAACCTAACCAATACCTTGCCGACATTGTAGCGTTGCTCGACGACCTTCAAAACATAAAGAGGAAGCATTCCTTTGGCGCTCGTGCAACGACCATATTAGACGCCTGGGCCACAATCCACAGATGTGCTATAGATGAACTAACTGGCCTTGTATCTAAGGCCTGAAATCTTTTTTCACCACTTCCAAACAATCTTGTACAGTGGTCCGAAACTTTCTCTAGGAAAGCAGAACTGTGTATAGAATAATAGTCTAAATTTAGCTTAATAAATCGTTGCTTCCCTTAAATTATGCATATTTTATTATATTTTCTTTTAAAATATTTTTTATTTATTTTCCTCATAACATTTAATTGCTACTGAATTATCTAAAAAATTTAGCTTAAACAATTATCTCATAAACACATACTACTATATGCTCGTTGCCACTTGTAGTGGAGCATCTGGTTTATGAATTGTTTTGGATCTGTTGGTTTATGTTAATTTGACAAAAGATTTTTTATATGATCTAAAACCATCACACGAAGAAAAATTGGTCTAATATCGTAGGCGAACTAATTATTTAGCCCAATACAACATAAATCAAATTATTTAGGGATGTAAGACATTTATTATAGTAATTTAGAACTCATCACGTCGACGTGATGAGTTTTAATAATATATATTTTTAATTTAATTTTTTAATCTCGATATGATAAAATATAATTAAAACAATTTTATTAAAATTCATCATGTCGATGTGATGATTTTGAATAAAAAATATTATTTGAAAAAATATGTTACCTTAATTTGACGAGTTTTCATGTACTATGATATTTACCGTATATTGCAAAATAATTTCTGAACTGACTTATTGGGTCAATTAATTTTTCCGCCTATCCTAATATTAAAAAAACCGTACACATGCTTAAAGCAAACTGAAACAGAACTCAGGTGATGAAGGGCTTGAAGAATCAAATAGAGACCCAATAGGATGATGGGCGGCTCATTGGTTCCTCATCAGCCTCATACAAATTTACAAAATCAACAAATCGTAGCAGATTTTGAAAACAAATGCAAAATGTTCTCCATTTAATATTTGGTGCTGTTCTCTGTTACCCTTTGAAATCACAGGCAGAGCTTACTTTGAAAGCAAAAAAAACATAAATATAAACAACGCCCGTGTCTGGAGCGGTTCAACTATATTATCTCCAAAAGAAAGACGGTTTAATCCGTTTTTATGAGGGGGGGGATCATAAGGGTGTTTAAATTATATTTAAAATTAATTTATGACGTCTAAAAAATCTTTTCTGTTTAAGCATATGGCTAATGTATTTTATTACCCTTGTAGGAGACTACCGTTAAAAAAAACTAATTAAGTGAAACGTGTTGTATTTATATTTTGATTAAAAAAAACTGAATATGACACATGTAATTTAAAAAAAATTAAAGGTAAACACTTAAATGTAAAGGAGAAAATATTAAACACTTATTTGTAACAAAAAAAAATATAATTAGACACCAAAAAATAATTTTAAATATAATTAATATACTTTTTTTAATCAAATCGTAATCGTTGGTGCCTACTGTACAGAGCTAAAGACCCACAAAATTATGATAATTATTGATCCTTGTCCTCTGACATAAAGCCTCCTACAGTGGTGCATTTTGAAAGTGACATTTATATGACTGGAAAAACCATTTGGGAGCAAATCTAACCACCTTGTATTCTATAAACGCAGATGTTATCCAACTAATCACCTCAACGACTCTACTGTCAAAATGGAATCCCGACTTCACTTAGTTAATTATAGAGTGTGGGCTAAGTAAAAGATAAGAATGTTGTGCATGGGAGAATAATATCATTTGTAAGAAAATCACATCTTAACAACACATATATACTCCCCCACGCCATCATTAATATTAAATACCAAAAAAGCACTGGCTCATTGAACTTCAAACTCTTTCCACCCTGCAGTTTTTCACTAATTTTGTTAATAATTGTTATTTCTAGGTTGCTGTAGATGGTACTTGGAAAGTATGTCCTGAAGCTGGTGGGCTAGTTCAGTTCCCTGGATTTAATGGTAGTTTTCATCTGCGAGCTCTTTTCCTATTCAAGATGATCCAATCTACATACGTTAGTAATTTCTTCTGTTGTTTTATATGCAGGAGAGCTGATTTGTCCTGCTTACCATGAACTCTGTAGCACTCCCCCTGTTTCTGTGTCAGGGCAATGTGTCAATTCTTGTAATCTTAACGGTGACTGCGTCAATGGAAAATGTCATTGCTGTCTTGGATTCCATGGTCATGATTGTAGTAAAAGTGAGCTCAAAGATATTTCTTTATTCCGTTATTTAGCTTTGTGCAAGACAAAACTCCGTATGTGAAGTCTCTTCTGAACTAATTCTTTCCAAAAAAACTGATGTTATTTTCCTTTTTCCTCTTGTCTAATATATTCAAGAGTCTTGCTCTAACGACTGCAATGGGAGTGGAAAGTGCCTATCAAATGGGGTTTGTGAATGCGAAAATGGTCTTACCGGTATTGACTGCTCAACAGGTATGGTAGTTAATTTAATATAGTTGGAAAATATTCTTAATGTTGCCGGATAGTATTATCCTATCCTTTTGATGGTTTTTATGTAGGTTTTATGTGTTTGTGGGCAGGGTTGGCCCTGGGCCGGGTAAGAGGGGCATCCACCCAGGGCCCATAATTCTAATTTATATTAATTTACCATACTTTAATAAACTATTAATTAATTCAACTAATGCACTATCCATTTCTTATCATATCGTTATTAAGAGTAAAACTAAATTAAAAATATTGTTTTAATTTTAATTTCTAGTAACTTGTTAATTAAAATTTGAAAAATAACGTTAAAAACTTTTATTTGTTATCAAAATTCCAAAAAAAAATCTTACTAACATTCAAATTTATCAACGGTTACTTTTTATTCCCTATAAATGAGAGGTGAACATTGAAGTAAAATTAATTTATTTCTCTTTTTCTTTCAAATTTTAAAATTCATTTGAAAATTATTGTTCTCAATTTTCAATTTCTCATATTTCTCACAATTCACAAACACAAAATCACAATTACTTATCATCAATTGTGGTCATTAATTGTGGTCATTGAAGATATTTTTAAAATCCTAAGTAAGTTCATGTTTCCAAATACTTTTTATTTTTATTTTTACATATTTCTAAATTCTAGATAAATTTATTCTTTTTTTTTTGTTTCATAAATTTTAGATATGAAATGTCAAACGTGGATATGCAGATAATTCGTCTTCCTTCTAAGTTCAATCATTACGGTGTTGCGAATTTGGCGTATAAATACTTCGATCGAGGATCTTCCCATTTACAGGTATTATTGTTCTTTTCTAAATTAATTGCATTGTTATATAATGTTGCCTAGAAAACATTTGTCTAGTAGTGAAAAAAGAAAACAAAAAGATGATTTAATAGAATCACAAAAGGGAGCTCTTGATAAATTCTTTAAAAGTGGAGTAAGAGAGCCTTCTAATAAAAATTTAAATGATATTGCTAGGAATTTAAATAATGTTGAGAGTTCTTCAAATTGTACCAATCTAGGTGCTACTGATGCAAATTATCATGATATCCTAAATCATATAGATGGTGACATTTCTAATTTAAATGTCCATAATCATGCACAAAATGAGTCTAATGTTGAAGATGTTGGGATTGATCAACATTTAGTCCCTACTATGGACATTTATGATCCTGGAAATTAGGGTAATTTTGATAATAAATCTAGAGATATTTTAGTTGAAAAGGGGCCTATAAGAGAATTGAATTTGAAATTTCCCTTAGCCAATAATTCTAGCATTTTCATATGCTTATTTTTCTAGAAAGTTGATTAATGGAGAGATTAGCGATAGAAAATGGTTGGTCTATTCTAAACTTGTGGACAAAGTTTATTGTTTTTGTTGTAAATTGTTTACAAAGCAAAACAATAAGAATTATTTAGAAAATGATGGATTAAATGATCGGAAGCATCTTAGTGAGAGACTCGAACAACATGAAAATAGTATTGAGCAAATGACTAACATGAATATTTGGAGTGAATTAAGAGTGAGATTAAAAACTAATCAAACACTTGATAAAGATTTACAACAAGGAGTTTCAAAAGAGAAAGAACGTTAGAGGCAAGTTTTAATAAGAATAGTTTGTGTTGTAAAATGTCTTGCTGAAAATAATTTAGCTTTTCGAGGATTTAGTGAGAAAATTTACAATGAGAGTAATGGAAACTTTTTAGGATTAATTGAAATGATTGATGAATTTGATTTGCCTATGCAAGACCATATTAGACGTATTCAAAATGAAAATATTCATTATCTTGGTCATAAAATTCAAAATGAACTAATCTCTCTCTTGGCCCATAGTATTAGAACTTCTATTATAAAGATCATCCAGAAGGCAAAGTATTTCTCTGTTATTCTTGACTGTACCCCTGATGTAAGTCATCAAGAACAAATGACTCTAATAGTGCGATGCGTAAATATGTCAAACAACAAAGTAAAAATAGAAGAGTACTTTTTAGAGTTCTTGAAAGTGGATGATACATCTGGATTGGGGTTTTTTAATGAATTAGTAAATACATTGCAATCTCTAGAATTGAACGTTGATGATGTGAGGGGCCAAGGATATGACAATGGTTCTAATATGAAAGGAAAACACAAAGGTGTTCAAAAGAGATTGCTTGAAATAAATCATAGAGCTTTATACATGCCATGCGCTTGTCATAATCTTAATCTTTCTCTTTCTGATATTACACATTCTTGTGTTAAAGCTATTTCATTTTTTGGGATTGTGCAACATATATTCATTGTTTGCAAGTTCTACCAAAAGGTGGAAAATTTTATGTGATAATATTCCGGAACTGTGAAATCTTTATCTGATACTCGATGGGAAAGTCGAATTAAAAGTGTCAAAGCTATTAAATGTCATGATCCTAAAATAAGGTTAGTTTTGTTACGATTATATGAATATTGTGGTAATGATGCAAAAACAAAAAGTGAAGCAGAAAGTTTATCTAGTGCCCTTCAAAGTTTTGAATTCTTACTTGGAAT